ATGAGATTATCTTGCACTCTGTCCTGAATCAGCTGTATGTCTCTCCTTGCCTGTCATTGTGTGGATAAGGAAAGCAAAAAATTAAATACCAGAGGACAAGCCTCTCTGAATCTGTTTCAAAGTCAACTAGAACTTTATAGCATTCCATAATGATTTGCCTGAGGAAGCAGCCCTCACTTTAATTGATTTCTGTTTCAGAATGTTAACATTTTGTATTAATGCCACCAAGCAGCAACAGACCAAAAAGGCCAAAAAACCTTCTCTCTCCCCAGTGTTAGCAGAGGTTACTAGGTCAGTTGGAACAAAGAAAGAGGATGGACTATGGTGTAAGAAGAGTAGATCCCATAATCTATGGTGAAAAAAAAACCACAGGCAGTAGTTTGCTCATATTGCATGAGTAATGTTCACATTCAGATCTGAGAGCTTTTTCACATGAAGCCAGAACAGAAAGCTCTTTCCACAAAGCAAGTGATTGTCTTAACACTATTCCTAATCCTGAATAAGAGTGCTCATGCAGATTTTAAAATGCTTTCAAATGGTCTCATACTGATTTCATTCCTCCAGTTGATTTGGATTATTTTCTGAGAATCAGGGAAAGGCTGTATAGAGAATGCTTCAGAAATCAAAACACTCCTCTAAAGATCATCAGTATTTTCCCCACAGCTTAGGGCATTTCATATACCACTAAATCACCAAAGAGATGCTAAGTGGAGTTACTTTGGAAAAAAATAATCTTCTGGCCATTGTAGCTATAGGTCACGTGTTCTTTTAACAACAAGTAAATTCAAGGATAAGAAAATCCTTAAGGTTACCCATCTTACAAATTATTTCACTGAGCTTGTCAGTGGTCTGGAACACTTATAGGGGAAGCTGTGTTTAACAAAATGCAAGAGTACTCTGACAATAGTCTCTTACACTCCTGGGAAGGGCATAACGCTCCCCAGTCCAGCATGAATTGTCTAGGAACTATTCCAATGTTGGAATTCCCTTTGGTGAGAAAATACCTTCTAGGTAACACCCCAGGATTTTTCCTCTATACAGATGATCAGAAACATGATTTCTGCTTAAGAAGTCTCTACTACAAGTTAACAACAAAGAATGCTCATTATGACATTCTAAAATAACATTCTTCTCTCAAACAAGTGGTAACAGTGAATTCACTTCTTAAATGCCTATTTAATAACTTCTTGGAGTACAGCTTACCAAGTGGGATACCATCACTGCTCCATCACAGTTTGCATTTGCAGGGTCACTTCGTTCTCTGCTTTCAATGATCTAGAAGAAGAGGGTACAATAAAGTTTTTGTCACTTCAGAAATAATAAAAATCCTCCTTAAGAGTGAAACAATTTTTACCATTCTGAAGATAGTGTGAGAACGGCTGCTGTGTTCATTCATTTTGGTTTCTCCATAATGGCGATTTTCTGTCAAAAAGCAATATTAGAATATTGTACTTGGATAAACTGAAGATAACAGACAAAAAACACATTCTTAAAACAACTTGAAAAACACTGATTTCTGAATCAAAGAGATACCCCATGATTCTAAATATCTGATTCTTCAATGCTTTTCTAAGGTATCAGCTGACATTGGCTAAACAACTTACTTTCTCCTTTTCTGATCCACTCCATAACTTGTTCTGGTGCAACCACCACCTCTTCAATTAGGTCTTCGACATATATATTCCTCTTAAGAACAAAAACAGCAATAAATTTTACTGAACTCCGATTCACTTCAATACATTAAGTTAACATGACCCACAATTATTATGGTATTTTAAGAAGGAAGCAAGTTGGAACAAAGGAAGTAACATCAGTTGAATGTCTTTTTACTCTGAACACAAGAATGGGGACAGTTTAGACCTTTATCAGAACTGTAAGGCACAAGAATCAGACAACAGAGATCTAGAAAGTTTCTTAAAAATAAAACCAGTAAGGGAAATATCTTTCTGGACATTTTGAGGGAATCTAGGAGTATATTTCTCAGGACGTGTCATAAGGCCATAATCATACAACTGATAAATCTCCCTTCTTCCCAAGATCCAAAAGCATTGATCATTTAGGGCATCAAAAGAAAAACAAAAACAAACCACAAAATGCCACCAATTTTTATTATTAGCTACAAAACTTAGTATAAAGAAATTGAAGATGGCATTAATATATTTATTTTTCCTACTGATTGTTTTACTGAATAGTTCTAGCCTAATGGTTATTCTATGCTTACAACAGAAGAAAAGTGTATCTACTCTGTAGGTGATGTGAAGATGGTATTAAAGTAACTCTGTATCTGTTAAAGACTCCTAACACATTGAGCTAGAGGTGTAATACCACAGAATCACAGAATATTGGGAGTTGGAAGGGACCTCAAAAGATCATCCAGTCCAACCCCCCTGCCAGAACAGAATCACCTAGATTGGTCACACAGGAACGCGTCCAGGTGAGTCATGAATGTCTCCAGAGAAGGAGACTCCACAACCTCTCTGGGCAGCCTGTGCCAGTGCTCTGTCACCCTCACAGTAAAGAAGTTTTTCCTCATGTTCACATGGAACCTCCTATGCTCCAGCTTGCTCCCATTGCCCCATGTTCTATCATTTGACATCAGAGAGAAGAGCCTGGCTCCTTCCTCCTGACACTCGCCCTTTACAAATTTATAAACATTAATGAAGTCACCCCTCAGTCTCCTCTTCTCCAAGCTAAAGAGACCCAGCTCCCTCAGCTGCTCCTCATAAGGGAGATGCTCCACTCCCTCAGTCATCTTTGTGGCTCTGTGCTGGACATATCAAGTGTGTAGAAGTTTTATTAGCTAGACAAGTCTCAGGTATTCACACTGTCAAAGTTAAAAAAAAAATATACTATCCTAGAAAGCGTAAGGAATCAAGTATACATTTACAAGCTTGTATAAAGATAAACAAGCAACAGCAAGCCCAACTTCACTGTTGTTCTACTACATCAAGTGCCTCTCTGCTAATTCTAAAGATAACAATTACACAATTTGTCACGGAAAAGTTTTAAACTAGATACCTCTCATGGCTTTTTTTTATTTTGTTGTTTATTTTTTTTTAAAGTACTTCTTTGACTCCAAGCAGATACGATACTTACACTACATAACACACACTTACATTAACATCCTCACGAATTCCCAGAGGCTTCTTTTTCCTGTTATCACAAAGCAAATCTGTAATGGTTTCATTGTAGATTTCCATGTAAGAAACCCTTAGCAAGAATTCTCTATCTGGAATCTAACGTGAAAGAAAAAAATAACAGACTAATCAGTGAACATCTTTTAATGCAAGTATTCTGAACTCAAAGGCATACGTTTGGATATCATTCGACAGATTTATTTCCCATCCATCCTCTTTGCACATTAGTATGGACCAATACAGAATCATTTTTACATCTATCCCACCTCTTTCCAGATGCATTAATGGCATATCACTTTCAGTAGTTTATAAAAGATAACTGCCCTAGAGAAGCATGACAATAGTATTCCCACTTAAATGCCCTTTCCGTATCTAATTTGCCCCTGCTCAGGCTTTTTCCTCTCTGTGTACCTAGTCTTCTCTCTCTGCTTCTTTAGATTTACTTCGCTGTTGGTGCTGCTTCTTTCCCTGCCTCCCTGTCAGAGAATCCTGACGTAAGGAAAGGCAGCTCAATGGACTCAAACACTACAGCATCATGGAAAGTTTTCTTGTCTTTAGTTACTTTAAAAGACCCCCCTAAGGTGCTCTGCACCTGCAAGGATCAGTGACCATTTCATGTAACTGATAACGTCTACCTGAAATCCTCAAGGCAAAAGCAAGTTCTCTGCAGCTGAAGTTTTGGAAATCACTGTTTTAACTTATACCTTCTCTTTACTTCCTATTAGCATTGAGTAATTAGCCTACAATTCTTCTGAAGGCATGCAGTCAGTAAATTTAGTGTCATATTCTTCCCACTAAAATGTCTTCAATACTGTTATTTTTTTAAAGCTTTAAAATAGCACAATAAAGAACACAAAGCTTCCCATTATCTTATCTACCAAATTAATGAGTGAGCATCTATTTACACTTATAATCAAGGTTTAGTCTACTTGCAAGTCCTACAATTCCCCTCAGTTTTGTTCTGATTTGATGCCAACTAATAGACTCCCATTATCTTTTTTTTTTAAACCGCTCATCTTTACAAGGTTAGCAAAGCAACTGCAACATACGGATCAATATAAATTCATTTCCTTCATAAGCTCCTTGATATTAAAATTAAGTTTTCTGTATCAATCAAAAATATTACTAGTCCTTTCAGTCACTTCAGTTTAACGGAGTTGCTCACCTCACAAATAATTTTGAAAACATGTTGAATTGCCTTAGGGATAATGCCCACAGAATCTTCATTTCCCATCATTGTATATGTCTTCCCTGAAGCAGTCTGTCCATATGCAAAAATTGTCCCTAGAAAGACAGTTCAATTGTACTAATTGCTTATGAAAAACATTACAAATAAGATTTAAACATACTTTTTAAACTTACCATTATAACCTTGCACAGCTGACTGTATAATTGGAACAGCTACACCTTCATATAACTGCTGTGTGTTGTCGCTTGAGTGAAAGACACGATCTTAAAAAAAACAATTAAACCATGTAAATACATTGTATTACAAGTCAAAAATAAGCTCTCATCTTACTCAGTATTCCTGACTGCAGGTCCAATAAACGGGCTGCAGATTGTAGGATAATTCAAACATAAAATGCAATTGTGACACCAAGGCAAGCTTTTTATTTTTCTTTTAAAAAAGGAAATATTAAAGCCCAAACCAAGAAAGGTACAATGAACCAAAAACAGACAAGTAAAAAAACCCTAAGGATGGCAGACACAGTTAAATAATCATCCCACTTAATCTTAAAAACAGTCATGGCTACTTTATCTACGAGGATTATAAGCCTCACAAGACAGGGTACTTGTTAAACTCCTAGCTTGGAGCATGTTTTTACTGTATCTATAATTCAGTAGAAATCTTTGTAGTGGCTATATTCATATTTACAACTAGAGTGGATCAGTAGGAAAAGACTCAAAGTGAGGCAGTTCATTATGAGGATCTAATACCCACACTAGACACTTTTTAATTTCAGGTTTGGGTTCCCTTACCCCTTCTCCCTAAATGCTTGGGACAAGCTCTAGTTTAGACTATTTGTGACTGGAATTCATATGAAAAGAATCCAGCTCATGTGTTCCAGAACCACTCTACAGCATGAACCAGAACAGAGAAAACAACATCCATCAGGAAGCAGACTTCAGAAGCACACTTCCAGTACTGACTAAAACAGAAATCCTGTGTGCCCCAATGGCACTTCTTCAAAATTATGAAGTTGGAAACAAAGTTCAGGGACATTGCAAAAAGCTAAGGTCATTGATGTTAGCAAACATTCAAGTAATACAGTAACAAAGGTTCATGTAAGCACCAAAACAAGATAATCACTTTCATATTCTTACCATAACTGAATACTTTTGTACCATTCACTTCGGAAATAGTATTGTTTTCACTTTTCCAGTGGAGTGACACGTTATCTTCCAGACCATTTTCTCTAAAAGAAGGGATATTCTGTTAACTTTTTTTAGGTTAGGACTCTGTTTTTATAAAGTAGGTCTACCCCCACACCACTAGCACCTCTCTCCCCCAGGCCCTCACCTACCAGCAGGTTGATTATATGCGTAACTATATAATAAGTGACCAAGGAACACACTTTAGTGGGCATAATATCCAAGACTGGATATTCCACATTGCCTACCATTCCCAAGCTAACAGTGTGATTGAAAGAATAAATGGGTTGCTGAAGGAACAATCAAAAAAGCTAACCAGCACTAAAACTTTACAACATTAGAGTTCATATCTTACTAAAGCAGTTTTTCTGTTAAACATCTGGAACATTCATAATCAAACACTCATTGTAATACATTGTATTACAACACATATAGTACAAAACATAGCGAGGACCGAAATTCTTCTCTCCCAAAATATTAACCACAGGGGAAATGGAATTGTTCACACTGACAGACTGTATGGTGTGACCCCAACCTATTGGCCTAGACATCAAGATTTATGTAACTCCTGACAATCTGCGTGGGTTTGTACCCCAACATCTCCTCTTATTTTACATCTTTTGTTAATACAAGATTCTTGAATTCTTGTATTTCAGGTATTGTCAACACATAGCTGTGACTTGTCTAGAGGAGATAGCACTAGAACTGTGTTACTGGTGTCACAAACGCCACATCAAATCGAAGTTCAATCTGAAAAAGCACAAGCCATGGCTCTCCAATCTGTGTGACCTATTACCCTGCACCAGATTATCAAACACAGAATAGTATTAGCTGAAGGAGCTGGAGAAATGGTGTACGTACTACTGGAAGGAGATGACACTTGTTTTCCTCCCATATCACAGGATGTCTCCTTGTACTTTATAGTCTCATACTACAAGTACATGCCCTAGATACATTTCCACAAGATCAGCATGGAAATATTTATATTTTGTTAGCCTTTACTGTAACTAACTCATCTGCCCTTCATATTAAGGGAAGATTAATAACTACAGATCTTTTAACAGAATAGAATCATACTATGCTGCATGATTTTGGTACTAATGTTTCTCATTACTATTTCTTTTTCTGAGTAGGTAATGGCTGTATACCAATGTACATTACAAAACTGATTAATGGTGGACTATTTCCTCCTTTGATACCATAAACGCTGCTTTGATTTTGAAGGCATGTGTTGCTTCAATGTAACTGATGAACCAGCCAGCATAGAGGACAACATTCAATATCTCCAGGACTTAATGTATCAAATGAAATAATCTACTGATGGTTCCCTACTGGCTGAGTGGTTCAATTCAAAGACATGAAGAATGGGATACCAGATGCAACATATTATTGTAGAGATATGTTGGTTTGGGTTTTTTTTAATATATATGTTTATCTTGTAGCTCTGTAAATTACTCTGCGTTACACTCTGAAAACTTAAATGAACACCTCCATCTTTGCCAGCCCCACTGAAAGCACTTGAGCAAGAGGGATAAATACAGAAGACTGGCAAGGAGGACTGTAAAAATGCTCAAGTGACTTGCAACTGGGGTGTCAAAAAACTCACATTTTTCTAATTCCTGTTTAGTCTTTTAAGCTTGACAAGTAGAACCTCCACGCTTAGATAACATAGGCTTGTGATAAACTCAGAGGCACCCTCTATTTCACCATTCAGTTCGGAAATGGTATTATTTTCACTTTTCCAGTGGAGTAACACCTTATCTTTCAAAGCATTTTCTCTAAAAGAATGAATATTCTGTTAGCTTTATTAGGCTAGGACTCTGCTCCTATAACGCGGGCCTATCCTCATACCGCTAGCACCGTTGTCCCCCAGGCCCTCGCCAGCCGTTTGTTCCGGCTCTCTCTTTCCTCCACGGGGGCGGACGCCGCATTTATATGTCCCCCACCTTCCTCTCTTCGTAAGGCGGTAGCGGCGCTCCCGGGCGCCACGCTGAAGGTGAGGGAGGAGCACAGCAACCCCCGGAGCTTAGGCACCCCAAGGCCCCGGGCAGCACAGCAGCCTCCCCTCAGGCAGGGGCTCGGGTG